GTTTGAACCATCAGCCTTCTGGTTAGCAGTCAAATGCCTTAGGCACTGTGCCACCAGGGTCCAGTAACCATTGTTGCAGACAAGATCCACCAATAGACAAGTTTGGGGAGAAATACTTTACTTGCACAGTCTCAAAGTAGCTCTTCCATGGTATTTATCAGTTACAAAGGACAAAATAGTAACTTTATAGTGGAGTAACCCAGCAGACCCCTACCTTAACCAAGTGTTCAAGATTAACAACACCAGCAGTAAGACATATCTATACCCTTGTGTGTTCAGTAGGACATAGCATCATTTTTGTGGTATTCTTGCCCAAAATGCGTAACCTCAAACTAACCATGAGAAGACATTTGACAAGTCTAAATTGTGAAACATTTTAGAAAATAACTGACCTGTTATCAAAAGTGTCAAGGTCTTGAAAAACAAGAACTGAAGAACTATCACAGATTAGAGAGGGCTAAGGACACAGCAGTCAATGTAAGTTCCTAGATTGAATTCTGGAAAAGAAAAAGCACACTAGAATGAAAATTGGTGACTTTGAATATAGTCTATAGTTTAGTTAGTAGTATTGTACCAATGTTAATTTCCTGGTTTTGATGATTGCAGTATTGTTATGTAATTTGTTCATGTTAAGGCAAGCTGAATGTGAAAGTTAAGGTGTCAACTTGGCTGGGCCACGATTCTAAGTGGTTTAGCAGTTACGATGTAGCCATCCCTCATGATGAGATCTGACATAATCACCTCCATGATGAGATCTGCTATAAGCAGCCAGTCATTTGAAAGGGGCTTTCTTTCAGAGTGTGGCCTGCTTCCAGTATATGTGGAAACGCTCTGGGAAAACTTTTTGCTCAATCTGGGTCCTGCATCTGGGTTGCCGTCATCTCTGGTTCTTATACTTGAACCAGTGGTCTGCTGTATTGCCTGTCGATCTTGGATTCTTGGTACCCTGTAGGTACGGGAGTCAGGAGAAGTGACCAGCTTGATGTTGGACCCAAAGACCCACATTGTAGCACCCTCTGTAAATGTGGGAGCCATTTCCTTGAGATAATTTCTCTCTCTCTCTCATTGTATATATAAGCTTCACTGGTTTTGCTTCTCTATAGAACACAGCCTAAGAGACTGACTGAGGTGTATACTTAAAGTCTCTGTATTATTTTTGTGAGTTTTCTTAAAAATTATTGCAAAATAATTTTTTTTTTTTTAAAGCCATGTGTTTTATGTATTTCTTGGTTTTGTCATTTGTACTCACTTGGCTGCCCTTGTAGTATACTGTGAAGGATGTGGTCAGAATCAGAGTAATCTTTACTAGTAGCAATAGTGATTGCTGATGTTTCTAGAACTCTCACTGTCGGTCATTGTGCTGAACAGTTTATGTGCAGAGGCAGAAAGACTGAAGCTTTGAAGCCAAACTGTCTAGGTTTGGAATCTGACTCTTCTACTTAGTGGATTTGAGACCTTGGACACGTTATTTTATATCAATGCCTCAGTTACATCATCTGTGGAAAGAATGTACTAATAAAAGTCACATCTCATAGATTTGTTAGGCAGATTAAATGAGCTAATTCATGTGCAGTGCTTACAGAAGATAAGTAACGCACCAGCATTACATAGCTAGTAAGTAGTGAGGTGGGATTTGAGCTCAGTGGTCTGATTCTAGATAGAGCTCATGTTTCTAACTCCTGGCTGCTGAATTGTTTTCTCTGGGCAGACACCAAAATGACATCTTGGCTACGTTAGCACCCTGACCTAAAGGATTCAACTAAGTCACGCTGGCTAATTGAGAATATTATAAATATCTCCCTTAAATTAGACCTCAAGGAGAGCAGGTAGGGTGTGCCGGCTATTGTCACTGATACTAGGTCCCACCTGTGAGCAGTTTTTGGGAAGACAAGATTTTCACAAGGATCAACATCACTTTGTGGAAACAATATTTAATATGATACCAGCATCAGACTGGGCATGTCAACTTGATAATTGGATGCCAAAAAGTAATTTATAACAACAACAACAAAAATAAACATTTTACTTTTTGGATATAATTATAATTATTGATTATCAGTATTTTATTCAGAATTATATATAAGTGGATTTGATCATGATTTAATCAGACCTTATCTTCTAAATTAATTAAATCTCTAATCTTTAATAATGAGATGTCTTACTGTGTTGGTCTATTTTTCTGCAACAAAATTGCATTTATCTTTTCTTTGTATGGGTTGTTGAAGACTTTTTAATACTAAAACATGCATCTATCCAGCAATACTGAGACGAGATAAAAATGCATTGCATTAAGTGTACATTACTAAGTAGTCTTTTTAATCTGATTACTTTTTAAAGTATGTCTTTCATCATGCAGTTAATAATTATTAAATATATTGTATTGAAGTGTAAAGGTGCTCTATAGAGCAGTGCCAGCCAATAAAAATACAATGTGAGTCACATATATAATTTAAATTTTCTAGAAATCACCTTAAAAAAAGTAAAAGGAAGCAGATGAAATTAATTTTAATATTTCATTTAACCCAATATACCAAATATATTATTTCAACAATTTATTATTTTAACAATTATTAGTGATATATTTTACTTTTTTTTTTCCATACCAAGTCTTCAAAATCTGATGAGTTTCTTACAATTATAGCACATCAGTTACATTTTAAGTATTCAACCACATGTGGCAAGTGGCTGCTGTATCGGATAAGCGCAACTGTGGAGTATATTGTTGTTAGACTCATAGTGACCCTGTCTGTGTACAACGGAATGAAACACTGCCTAGACCTGTGCCATCCTCACAATTCTTGATATGCTTGAGCCCATCATTGCAGCCACTGTGTCATTCCGTCTTGTTGAATGTCTTCCCCTTTCTCACTGGCCCTCTACTTTACCAAGCATTATATCCTTCTCCAGAGACTGGTCCTTTCTAACAACATGACCAAAGTACGTGAGACAAAGTCTGGCCATTCTCGCTCCTAAGGAGCAGAGATGGTTGATATTCTTCATCTAGAAAACGAATTAAACCTGTCTTTGCACATAATTAAGAATACTATACATTTATTGACAGTATTTAAGCAAAAGGGTTACATGAATGTACTCTCATACCCTTACGATAATAAACATTGACACAACCTTGAGTCCCTCTGGGTGGTGCAAATAGTTAAGCACTTGACTACTAGCTGAAAGGTTGGCAGTTCAAATCCAACCAGAGGAACCTTGGAAGATGCCTAGAAATCTGTTTCTGAAAGGTCATAGCCTTGAAAACCATATGGAGCAATTCTGCTCTGCACATACAAGCTAGAATCCACTCGACAGCAACTAACAACAGCAACAAGAAAATAAGGTGACACAACTTTTGGAAAAGGTTTTTGGCCCAATTTTTCAATTTTAATTGTGTATACTTTTAGCTTTGGAAACTCTGGTAGCATAGTACCTGAGGCACTTGACTGCTAATCAGAAGGCTGGAGGTTCAAACCCACCAGCCACTCCTC